ATTTATTTTTAAACTACCTTATGATTTCAGTGAAATTTCTTAGCTTTTACTTATTAAATAATTCTTTCAATGAGAAACTTCATCTATCAAAATACTTTCTGCAAGTTAATGCATTCTTGTGTCTTTTATTCAGCCTAGTTGTATTAACATGCAATGATTATTTGAAAACTGAATATCACATTAATTAGCATTGGACAAATACTCGTGTCTGAAAACAAAATAAAAGCTCTACTGCAGGGTCAAATTGTGCTGACACGTTATTTACACTGCATTAGCCAAAGACAATCTGTGTTTTGGAGCTGGATTTCTTAAGTCTCTTGATCTTGTGGATTAAAAAAAAATCTAAATTCAAATTATAAGATTTAGAACTTCTTGAAGTTTACCCTAAACTACACTAAATCATGAAATATGGCAACATGTGACTTGAAAACACAAATGTGTGTATTCAGATAATGCATATCATCCAGATCGTAGGACTGGATTTTAATCAAGTCAATACAAAAGCAAATGTAATGCTCTGGCGTTAAACATAGTCTTGTGATGACTTGCTTTTTTTAGGGGGGAAGCACTACTTCTGACATATAGAAGGTTCCAGTTATCTCTCCTCTCCCCTAAGGAATTTAGTGGCTGCTTGCATAAGCTTCTCCTTCAGTTTGGACAAGGTGGAAGAGTTCGTGCTCTAGGTGGTGACCTTACCAGTGCTCCCCCTGCTCCCCCTGCTCTTCTCTCTAGCTGTTGCTAACTTACTTTTTGTTCTTGTACTACAGAGACAGAAAGTGATTTAAGTTTCACTTTTCTCCTTTGGAGTCATGATGAATAATCATAAGGATAAACTGATATGTTTTTAAAATCCAAAGGATAATAACTCTGTTTATTTATGTTTTCAAAACAGAAGCCCCCTAGAAAAGCATATTTCATTTTGAAACTTAAAAAATATTACCCAGCATGAGATTGGATAGATATATAATTTATAAGTCACAGGCAGTTTAAAAAAATCACTATCAACTCAAACTTAACAAATTCAGAATAAACTGTTAATATTTATAAGATGCCGCAGTGCCTCTTATTGAGATTAATAAACAGTGAAACTACATTTTTTTTCTGAAACTGAAACCTAATTTATTTCATAAAGGACTGAGAACAAAATATAATAATTTCACTGTGACAAGGAGAACAATATAATTTCTTTGTGTGTGTTGTAAATATATACATATATATTAATACTGAGCATGGTAAAATAGATTAACAAATTCATTTGCATAAAATGAGATAAAAGTTTAGCTTTATTTTTTCTAAATTGGTAATTAATTGATTATTTTTTAGAATTTTTGGAGAGAACATGATGATCCCATCTTGATAGGTTGTCTTACTTTCCAAGGCACTACTATTTTTACATCAATAGTAAATTTCCCATCAGTAAATACCATTCATTTTTTTATTTCAAGTATTCATTTGCATTCTCTTCCTTTTTGGAAAGTCAATTTAGAGATAAGTTAGTTGATTGGATGAAGACATCTAAAGTCAAAGCAACTGTAAACTAAGGTAAACTATATGGCACAAAGATTATAGATACCGAAGAATAGCTCTAGATCCAATGCTCAGCTCATTCACTTAGATAAATGTACTCACCTGTGAACTGGAAGCGAGAAAACATAACCTGAGGCTTTACTGTGAGGGAAAGAGAACGTGACCACACCCCCAGTCTGCCCGGGTAAGTACCATTTTACATGTCTTGTTCCAGCATAACAGTAAATACACCTCTTTATACCTGAAAATGTTCAGTGAAGAGTATGAATTATACAAACTACTTTATGAAACCTAGTAGGTAATCAATAAATAACATCTTGCAACAAGATCAGGAAGAAATAACTGTTTAAAATGTTATAATGAATCAAACCAAATGGAATGTTAATTTTAGCTATATGGTAATGTAAAGGAAAACGTTACAGAAAAAGTTGATTTATAATATAATCTAGGGATCTCTTACTAATGAACTATGATTAGAAATAAAAATAACCCTCAAAAACTAAGACAGTGAAAAGAGAAATGAGTTGAAAAATACTCATATATCACAGTGATTATATATGCCTTATGCATAATAGTCTTGAGTTTAAAGCTTAACACCAAATTAAATCATTAAATAAAAATGTCTCGGCCCTCTAAAATTTGAAGAGTTTTATATTATAGCTTGAATAACAAAATAATAGAGACTGTGTATTTTAATATCATTAGTGTTGGGAGAGGTAAAAATAGTCAGAGATCAGGCTAGAAACACAGAGATGAAATTGTAGAAAACATTTTAAACAATACTGAGTTCAGATTTTAACAATTCTTAAGACCAAGCACATTTGTCCATAGAAAGATGATAATAATAATTTTAACACTAATAATAATCATTATTAACAATTATCGAATGCTTCCCATATGCTAGTATCTGTAATACATTCTTTATAAGCATTAAGTATTAATTCCTCTTAACAGTCCTATTTTTTAGATACTGTTGCCTGCACACTCACAAAGGGGTAAACTGGTAAATCTAGAGTTTAAGGAACTTGCTCCAAATCCTACATTAGTCTGTGACAGATCCAAAGTTCACACCAAAGGAGCTAGCTCCACAGGTCCCATTCTTAACAGCAATGCAGTACCTCCACTCTGGTCCGGCAGATAAAAGGACATTGTAGAATCTCTTTTTTAGAAGGCTCTGTCTGATTCAAAGTGCAATGTGGAGAATGAACTAAAAAGAAACAAGCATAGCAATTAAGAACCTTTAGTAGTAATTCTGATAAGAAAAAATCATATTCTGAAAAATATTATAGAGAGAAGTTGATGGATGAAAAAGTCAGGCATTAGTTACTTTACAGAAATAATGTGTCTATTCAGGTATCTAGTAACATGCTAAATCCTGCTGGCTTTCTGAATGCTTCCAAGTAAAATGATTAGTGCATGTGATTATTGCATATCTTAATGCCATTTGAGGCAAATATTAAAATTCAACCTTTAAAAACATGTCAGGAATTAGAAGGCAGTAATAGTGATAAGACTGGATTGATCGTGGCCAGGGAGAAAGAGGGTAAAATCAAGGTTGCTCCTAGATTTTTTAGGGAAATTAGAATAACTGATGATGCCATTAGTTATGAAACATGTAAGAGGGAGATAAGCTCAGTTTTGAGCACACTAAGTCACAGTTGCCTGTTGGACCATAAGGTAAAATTGGCCAAAAAGCAACTGGACATGCGATTCTATACATGAAGAGAAACCAGCTGAAGATGCATACATGAGAATCATCTCCAGATAGCTGGTAATTGACTCCATGTGATTAAATAGGATTATCCAAGAAGAGGCTTTGATGAAACAAGTGGAAACTACTGGTCTTTCCAAATAAATTTTCCAAAAATAAATTTATCCAGAAATTGAAATCCTCCACCAGTCCAAAAACATTTTATCATTTAAAACTATGAACAATGATTAAAATAACCTAGTTTGAATTGTATTCTCCTTTTTTTAAGTCAATATGGTAAAATAATAAAGTGCTTCAGAAGGAGGCCAGAAAAAATGGGAATAGAGTTCAGAAGCCTAAGTAACTTACAAACTAGAGAAACCAAACCCTCCAGATTATAGGTGAAATAGCAATTGAAACAGACCAGTGATTCATCATTCCCTCTGTGTCACTGTGCCGCCACCCTACTCTCGCCCCTCTGAGTGACAATAGGTGATGTCATCAGCATTTGCTTTGTTCGGAGAGGAAACGTTAAATGGAGTATAACAAAGTAAACCCGTATTCCTTCCACTCCCTCCCTACGGATAATAGAGAACCTGCCACAGGCATAGTATCTGCAAATAAAAAACTGCCAAGAACATCAAATACAACCCCAAAATAGCCATCTGCTCATTTCTTCCACTTCACTCTGAATAACAAAGCTGTTCTTCACATACATTGTGAAGTTTTCAGTAATTTGTTAGGATGAAGATAAATTACCCTCTTTTTATATAATAAGAATGCTCTGCCGTCGGTCAGATTTTGAGGGGGCAGACTCTGCTTAACTTAAATTTATTTTTCTCCCACTTTTTTCTGTTTGAGAAGGTAGTATTTCTTACATTCATCTAGGACACAATTTGGTTTGCTAAAAAGAGTTTTGAAAAAGAGGAATAACATTTTAAAGTTGTAGGACATTTTTTTAAGTCTCCAATTAAAAAAAATAATAGTGCAGTCATAATTTCTGTATATTTCTTTGTTTTAAGTGAAAGCCTTTGAATAGATATTTTTGCAGTTGAAATATTTAAGTGATATTTAATACAGATCCCCAAACTTAAATATTTAAGGTTCCTTTCCTTAAAATTAAAAAAATATATATATATACACTTATTTCTGACCTAAAGACATTAAAATTGGAATGTTCATATTCAAAATGTCTGTAAATTAAGAGTACTCACTCCCCAATATTTCTCCATTTCTTAAAAGTGTTCTCAGCTACCCAGTAAGTAAATAATTTATAGAATTTTATAAATTAAAATCTATAGAATTTTAGAATTTATAAAATTAAAGTAAGAATTTATAAACCTAGTTACTTACTCATGATTATTTTAAGGTTTTTTTTCCTATGCCCATATGTTTGATTAGCTTAGCTGATATCACTTATTTATAATTCTAAGATAAAACAAATTACTAACTGAGTTTTGAAAAAAAATTTTCTTGGAAAGCCACATGTGGAAGAATGAAACCAGACTGCTATTTGTCACCATACACAAAAATTAACTCCAAATGGATCAAAGACCTAAATATAAGACCTAAAGCAATAAATTACATAGAAAGAAAGATAGGTACTAAACTTATGGACCTTGGTCTTAGAGCAGATTTTATAAATTTGACCTTAAAGCAAGGGAGCAAAAGCAAAAATAAATAAATGGGACTACATGAAACTAAAAAGCTTCTACACAGCAAAGGAAACTATCAACATCTCTTTTTCCGCTATTGTGGTCTGTGAGATTTATTCTTCTTCACCATGTCTTCTCACAAGACTTTCAGGATCAAGAGCTTCCTGGCCAACAAACAAAAGGAGAACCAGCCCATTCCCCAATGGATTCAGATGAAAACTGGTAATAAAATCAGGTACAACTCCAAGAGGAGACATTGGAGAAGAACCAAACTGGTTCTACAAGGAAGGGCACATCAGAGATGTCTCATATTTATGCTCTATTCATGTTGTCTGCCTCTTGAAGTCACTGAAAAGACCACTGCTATGGGGACACTTTGGCATTTTATTGGGAATTGGATTCTTTTTTCTTGACATTTCTCCTTCAGTAGTAGGTTGAATCATTAATAAACATGAGGCCATTAAAAAAACAAAAGAAGTTATCAACAAAACAAAAAGACAACCAACCAAATAGGAGAAGCTATTTGTAAACAATAGCTCTATTCTTATAAGAGATTAATATACAAAATATATACAGAAAACATACGACTCAACATCGAAAAAATGTAAACAATCTAAATTATTTTAAAAGGGCTGAGGACATGAACAGACACTTCTCTCAAGAAGACATACAACTGGTTTATGGATATATGAAAAGATGCTCAACTTCTGTAGCTCACTAGTGATTAAGGAAATACAAATCAAATTACAATAAGATACCACTTCACACCTGTTAGAATGACTATGATTAACAAGACAAGTAATAGCATGTGTTAGAGAGGTTGCAAAGAAAAAAGAACCTTCATTTACTGCAATAAGGACAGTATGGAATGCAGTATGGAAGTTTCTCAAAAAATTAAGACTGGAGCTATCATGTGACCAGTAACCTCTCCTCTCGGTATTTACTTTAAAAATTTGAAAAGATTAATTTGGAACGATATACATGCCCCTCTACTGCAGCTTTATTCATTGTGGCTAAGGTATGAAAACAACCAAAGCGTCATTTAATAGATGATTGGATAAAGAATACACAATGAAATACTACTACTCAGCCATAAGGAAAGATGAATTACTGCCATTTGCAACAATATGGATGGATTTTGAGAATAACATGCTAAGTTAAAAAAAATGAGATGGAAAAATTCAAGGTCCATAAATTGCAAACAACAAATTAACAATCAAGACAAACATAAACTCATAGATACAGATTACAGTATGGTGGTTACCAGAGAAAAAGTGGGGTGGGAGAGATACAAAGGGTATCAAAGGGGATTGAATACATGGTAACAAAATATTTGACTTTGAGTTGTGAACACAATGCAATATACAGATGATGTATTATAGAACTGTACACTTTAAGCCTACATAATTTTATTAACCGGTGTCAGCCCAATAAATTTAAAAAATTTTGACCCTGGCTGGTGTAGTTCAGTGGATTGAGCATGGGCCTGTGAACCAAAAGATCGAGGTTCGATTCCCTGTCAGGGCACATGCCTGGGTTGCAGGCCAGTTCCCAGCAGGGGCCAGTTCCCAGCAGGGGATGCACCAGAAGCAACCATACATTGATATTTCTCTCCTTCTCTCCTTCCCTTCCCTTCTAAAAATAAATAAATTTTTAAAAAATTTTTTAAAGAAAAAGAAAGATTTTCAATTTCAGTTGCTTACTTTTTTGTCATTATTACTAGACTCACAAAAGAGATAGCAAGAGAGAGTCTGAACATTAAATAATATAAAAATCAATACAGATTCATATAAATAATGCAAATAAAGACAAAAGCATGTATCCAGCTGTCTGACATTAAAAATATAAACAAACAAACAAACAAACAAACCCAGGGATTTGTTTTATTCATCTAGGAAAGACCAACCTTGTTTGTCCAGGATAATTGTAAAGTAACCTTAATATTGTCTGCTGTTAAAGTACCCCATCTCTTTGAGCGGCCCCTCTTAGCTCATAGATCCACGAAGCTGGCAGAAGAGGTTGAGTAGCACCCTAGTAGGTCAGAACGTGCTCACGTTCCCGGAGGTCCTCTGGGCTTCTTGTGTTTCCCTTTTTTCAGAATTGAAAATAAGGCTAAAAGGCAACCTCTTTTCTGAATGCAGATTCTCACTCTAAGGGAAATATTCTCCAAATTTGTGAAATTAGCCACATTTTCTGAGACACTTTAAATGGCACATTGTTTCTTCTGCAGTCAGCGTAACACGGACAAAAAAAATCCATACAAAAATCTGGCTTCAGATTTACCTTCTATAACCATTAAGGAAAACTTTATAATCTCCTGAGTATTCAGAAAAAAAAATAGCTTGCTTTTCTTCCCTCTTCACTACTGATTGACCCAGGCTTTCACCATGCTCCTCAATTCAGCAGTTCCAGGTAGTCTTGTACATGCTTGTACATGCTTGGTTTCAGCAACCAAAATCTCTCTAAACCTGCACAAGTTGACCAACGCCTTAATAATTTATTATCTGGGTGTTGGCCTGATGGACATTCCTGATTCAGGTACATTCATCACTTATTTGTTTCTCCATATTAATACCTATGCCACCTTTTAAATTGATTATAATTTCAAAATGAACACATTTTTATGGTTGAAATACAAGAATAACTTTATCACCTAGAAGATGAAGTGCGAAATCTTTAGTCCTTTATGAACCAGCCAAAACATCTCTCCCCAGACTGTTCTGTAGTTCTCAGTGCATCACTGTGAAAGCCTTGAACACGTAGTTTCACAGAAGCAATCTTTCGCATGTGCTGTTTGCTCTGACAGGATGGTTCATTCCTATCCTTTTTTCCAGAGAATCTTTCCAATTTTTCTTTTAAATTACAATTGACATTCAATACTGTATATTAGTTCAGGTGTATGGTATAGTGTTCAGTCAATTATATAATTTACAAAGTGATTCCCCAACATTTCCAGTACCCCCTGACACCGTACAGTCATTACATTATTGACTCTATTCCCTAGGCTGTATTTTACATCCAGGTGACTATTTTGAAACTATTAATTTGTACTCTTAGTCCTTTCACCTTTTTTATTCTGCACACCCCACCCCCTGCATCTGGTAACCCTCTAATAGAGAATCTTAATTGTCCCAAAGCCTCAACACAAATACATCAGAACTCTAAGTGCCTTCCAGATCCACACTGATCTTCCTAGCATGAGCTCTTCATCAAGCCACCCTTTAGTCTTTCACTGAACATTTGGTACCTATTTTGTTGTCCTGCAAATCTATGATTGTCCCTGTCTGGGTACTGAAGATAAAGTGGTAAATAACATAAGGCCCCTGCTCTCATAAAATTCATTCTTCTCAAGAAAGTGAAAAATGAACATAAATAAGATGTGATGACTGGTAATAATACCATAAAAAATAAAATACAGTTAGAGGATGAAGAGGGCTGAAGAAAGACTAGTTTAGCTAGGATCATGTGGTAAGACTCAGTTGAGGGAGGACATTTACATCAACACTTGAATAAAGTGTCCTTGTAGATACTATCCTCAAAACTTCTTGCCCTGGCTGGTGTGCCTCAGTGGACTCAGTATCAACCTGCAAACCAAAGGGTGGCTGGTTTGATTCCCAGGCAGGGCATATCCCTTGGTCGTGGGCCAGGTCCCCAGCAGGGGGTGTGCCAGTGGCAACCACACACTGATGTTTCTCTCCCTCTCTTTCTCCCTTCTTTCCCCTTCTCTAAAAATAAATACATAAAATCATTAAAAAAAGAGATAGATTCACTTTTTTAAAAAGTCTCATTATATTGTAATTAAAGTTGAAATTCTTTTATACATAATCCTTGAATTGTGTAGTTTTTTAGTTGACCAAAAGAAAAGGCTTTGAATGCTAGTAATTGAAAAGTAACATTTTTATATCAGAGCATTGTATTTTAATTTAAAACTTACAATGTACTTTAATTTGCCAATATGATGATATTGGGCCAAACCCAAATCATTTTCATGATTTTTTTCAACCTTTTCAGGTTTTTACTCATATTCTAAATCAATAATAATTTTAGTGCTTGATCTTTATCCATTATTTCCAACACATTCTTACAGTATTCACAAAAATGACAACTTTATGTGCATATTTAGTTCATTTGTGCGTTATTAAGTTAGGAGATTATAAAAAACACAATTTACTTGGACAGAGACACAAAGTGTTAGAATTGCTCTATTAAGTTGGTTATGGGCATATGTTCCACTATTATTATTATTATTATTATTATTATTAAAGTTGTATCACTTAATTTTATAAACTATTTTATGTGTATTTTTTAAATTAAATTAATAACATTTGATTGGCATAAACATAGTTAAAAAATTAGTTATCTTAATAAGCATATAAGACTATTAGTAATGAAAACAGAAAAGCATCCCCAGATTACCCTAGGTTTCACTGTATCATGTGCAATCCAATCATGTGTTGTAGTAGGAAAGGAGAGCATCAGTTTATGTAGTACAATTGTATTATTAGGTGGAATTCCTTCAAGGGAGTATTCCCTACATTTGTAGGCAGGAGAATGTCTATTGCATTCATCTGTGAGCTTCTTACATTTAGAGCCTGGCTGGTGTTCAGACCTGTGTAATTCTCTCAGGGCTTAGGATGGTGTTTTCACAGTATGCACTGAGTAAATATTCGTTTAATGAATAAGGGAATGTTGAATGAGTGAAATATATGCACATTTACTTTACTTGTGCTTCTGTCTATCAAAAATTAAGTAGTTCCCATTTCAATATTTTGTCACTTATGTCTTGCTGCTCTTAGTAACCCAGAATTAATTGGGTAATAGTATTTTCAGTCTCCGGGTTTTAGTCCCATGGTGAGTCATAGAAAAATTAGTTTTAGGAATCCACATGATACTTGTTTTCAGGCATGAAATAAAATTGCATTTATTACATCTCATTCAGAAAAGAAAAGCTTTGATGCATTCTGAAGCATGTTGAAATTTCTACTAGAATTATAGCAATTAAAGAGTTACAAAAGTTATAATCACAATTTATCTAGACACTGATTAAAAGTATTTCAAATCTTTTGTTTCCTAAAATCAGAATAAGCCTTTAGATTCTTAAAAACACTTATATGTTTAGACAGATATTTTATGATAAAATTAAGCCCCATTACAAAGAGCACCAAGTGAGTTTGACAAGTGATAAAGCAGTTACCTTCAGCATTAATTCTGTCCACGTACAGATACAAGTGCCTTATTGAATTCCATGGAACACAATGCGGCCTCTACAGGTATAAAGCCATCCATCCCACAGTATCCAATTATTATCCTTAGAAATTATAAATTTCTAGCTTCAGCTTTTCTTTACGGGTTTTAAGGCCAAAAAAATTAAACAAGAATGCATTTATATTTCTAAATGCTCATGATAAAATAC